TTTGATTTTGTTTATTATACCCTGGGTGAGATATTGACCCAAGAGGGTATGCTGATGCTAAAGACAATTCGACAGGAAGAAAGGCGGAAGCTTTGCTTAAATTTTAAAAGTTTAAGAATTACTAAGACTTGATAGAAGCGTATTAATTTGCAAAATCACCATATTTGTAATGCCTATCGATAATCGATAACATATTTATATTGATCAGTGAAGTATTTGTAATTTCTGAATATTCGAGAGAAGCCCAGAATGTATCAACATTTAAATGTATTACAGAATATCTTAAATAAGTTATTTACAAACAATTTCGATTATCGATAAACGATAGATCATAGATATTAGTAAATAAATCATATACATATACTTGCCAATAGCTAACTTTGTTTCTCCTGTTAAGGCCTTGAAACATAAAAGTGCAATACTAAGGTATTTCTTCACCCTATCGACTATCGATAAACGATTTATATGTAGTTTACTCACAGCTAGATTCTATACTTAAAGTCACAATTCTTTAATTACGGGATATTCAAATCAGTTGCATTTTTTTGATTCACCCTACAATCTATCGATAAACAACAAAACAGCTATGTGCAGCATTTAAAATGTAAGGCTTTCTCAGCTAAGTCACATTACTTAAATTACAGGGTATTTCAATCAGATTGGTGTATAAGTCACCAGGCAGACTATCGATAGACAATAGCTTGTAGTAGTTATCAAAAAACAATAGCTAGCATTTCTAGCTGTCATATCTGTCATTTGCTTTAATTATAGGGTATTTTAAACTCACTTCACTCTGAAGATTTGCTTTTTTGTTTCCGAGCAGGCGGCAAGTTTTATTATGGGTACGTGTCTGGCTGCCAGTTTGTGTGTGAGGGTGTTTTAGGGTTAAAGACTAGCCTGTCAGGGTTCCCAGACGCCAGGCGGCGGGCGAGTGTATATGTGAGTGTGTGAGTGTGTGTGTGTGTGTGTGTGTGTGTGTGTGTGTGTGTGTGTGTGTGTGTGTGTGTGTGTGTGTGAGTGACTGTCGAATGAACTGAAACTGTCAAAAGTGCACATTCCGCACTTGACATTTTTGCAAAGCGCATTTTGAACTCTGCCCCTGGGCCGGGGCAAGAGGGCAAGTGTGAGGATTTCTCTCTTGGGGTGCGCTTCAATTGGCATTGAAAGCGTAAATGAAAGGGAAGCCTTTGCATGTTTCAGCCATAGCCACAGCCACAGCTACAGCCACAGCTACAGCTATAGCTGGAGCTACAGCAATGGCAAAGTCAGCGCCGGAATGCCAGTCAGCGCTCAGACATAGACGATAGAGTGACTGAGAGCTGGGGAGAGGGGAGCTGCAGGGTGTGCAGTGCACAGGGGGTGAAACTGTGGCACGCGTTCGCCGCCCTCTTGTCAAACAGTTAAAATAATGAAAAAAAAAGAAGTAAAGAACGTGGCATAAACCCAGAAATTTGCTCGTACGTTTATTGCTTTTAAATTTGGCAATTGTCGAGTCGAGTTTAACATGCGTTCGCCTGTGTGTATGTATGAATATGTGTGCGTGTGTGTGTCAATGAGGGTACTTGCCTGCTGCCAATTGCTTATCAGGCCGCATTTCCAGCAGTCATTCCGTTAGCCGCCCTTAATTTGCCCAATTTAAAAATGGAAATCGATTCCCCCGAGTGCAGAGTGAGGCAGACAGAGTGTGCCCCGCCCCGTTGCATGTGTCAATAAAATGTGATTAACAAGTTTTGCATAAAAATGCCGACAGTCAATTGCAATTGCGTTGCCTTGCCCAACCAACATCCACCCTCCCTCTCCCTCTCCCTTTCCCWCTGCCTACTTCTCTTCACATACGGCTCTGGCCGCAGGCATTTTTCTTTTGTTCAAAATCCCAAAGGAAACTCCTGCCCTAGCAGTTTTCCTTTTGTAGTTGTTGCTGTTGCTGTTGTCGTTGGCAAGCGTGGCAAATTATCCCTTTCATAAGTGACAAATATGTCTGTCGAACTGCAATTGGGAGCAGACAGGGCGACGGACAGGCAGACAGCAATGGGGCGAGACAGGGGCGAGAGAGTGGGCGGGGCAAGTCGCTGCCCTTATCAGACGCGTGCGACGGCAACGGCAGCGGCTGCTGCAAGTAATGAGATTTTATTTCAAACCAAGTATCTTGGGTTTCTGTAATTTGCAATAAATATGCAGCCAACCAGGCCAAGAGTCAGCGGCCTAGATAAGAGCTGTGAGGCGTGTGGCGTGTGGCAGCCATAAAGCCCCAGGCAATGCTCAGCTTTGCTGCAGCTGCCATATCTCTGAAATACATAAAACTTTACACTTAAGCTCTTCCATTCAACTCAATTGGCTGGGCAAATAGACAGACAGACGGATGAACGGACAGACAGGCATTTGATATATTGGTAATCAGCATTTTAATGAACCCACAAACTTTCGGGCATAATTAAACAAATTCCACACATAACGATGCTCTAACCTCAGGCAAATATTTGTTGTTATTTGCAGTTTGTAGACGAAATGCATATTTC